AATACTTTTCACAATCGCACGGAAGAAATAGTTTTGTATGACACGTCAGTTAGGCGACAGGTCCGTGAGAAACGCCAACTATTCAAATTCATTCGAAGTGGCGATTCCCATGCAAAATTTTTATTTTTTTTTAATCTTTTAGCCGTCTTATTTTTTATAAATTTTCTTACATATAAACCTTGTCCTGACAATAAGGAACACGTAAAAAAAAGAATCGTCCAATTCGGTGCAGCCGTTCTGAAGTTATAAGCGATTCATTTTTATTAATATAGATAAAGAAGTTTTTTTCGAAACTATGTTGCTCTGCGGCCTCCAAATATTGAACAACGACGATTGTTTTTAAAATATATTAATGGAAAATGTCATTTTTAGATTCAGGAAATCGCAAAATTCTTGAAACTAGAAAATTGGGAAGAATACATAGGATGCGAAAGACTGCTGACATACTTCTTGTGGACACAGGGGGTCACCTGACGTGTCTTAAAAGACACGGAGGTTGGAGATGCAGCACAGTTGCATAGGAATATATTGAGGAATCCCGTTTCAAAGAAACTATTGCCAAGAAAATATTGCTACATATCTGATAAACTCACAACGCTGGTATCTTCTGATGTCACAAGCATTTTAAATCAAAATGCTGCGACTTGTTCTAACTTTGTATTCTCTACAAAATGTAAATGTTTCCTCTGATACTTCTGTCAGTAATTTAATAATTTATGAAAATGTTGTGGACTATTGCAAGAATGACACAAATTCTAATCGTGAGAGCTGATTTATTTTTCACAGTTTGTTGTTGAATTTCTACACTTAATATTAATATAAATAAATCATTTAAGATTTCATTCTCTATTCTTCTGATAAAAATTTAGATATTTTTTCTGCTAGGATTATAAGTTACTATTTTTAGTTCTAGCAGAAAATGTAGCCTAATGTTTTCCTAGTGACAGGAACGTCAACCTTTCAGACTCTTGACAGTTAAACGATCTCATACTTTTGTGACGGTTGGAGAAAAAATGAGTAAACAGATAAAAACAGTTGACGGTACTCGTGGAATTTTATTTCATCAAATGTTAAACGACACCGTTTCTAGACAAAAATGCAATAGGAATAATTATATTATTGGTAGGTACGTTGTTCACGAATAACTTTTGTAGGAACTCCGTTTACACTAGTATAAAGGGTTGCTGTATAATTGTGTTTTTTTGCAAAAATTTGGATGGCTCGGAGAAAATTTCAAGACGAATTCATAAACATCAAGTACGGTTGTGGACAGTGAATTTCGTCCACCCAATTTCTTTGATAGAAAAAAAACTCTAAATTAGCCCTTAGATCTTTCTAACCTTTTTTTGTCATTACAGTGAATTTTTGTGAATTCGCGTGAATTGTGTGGACGAAATTCACTGTCCGCGACTGTACAGGAATATGTTATTTTATAAAATATAAATCCTTATGAAAAATTTTGAGGGGATGTCATTGCATTCATTAGACAAATTTTGGTTAGCCTTTTACCCACTACATGATACATACTCCTAACATACGTATAAAATTTTACAACAATCGTTTCGGTAGTTATACCGACGAATTTCTGTATTGATAGTAAGGGAATTTATACAACCTTATGTCGGCTTACCTTCGCTATATCCAACATTTCATTACGCTGTTATAACAGGCTTTCGTTGTAATTTGAATTATCTCACTAGCTCACAAATTATGTAAACAGACGATTTAAAGCCATAACTGAGAATATCTTTTTATGCGGTCAGCAATTAAAATAATCCTTTGACCACATGAGACGGTAGTTAATTTACAAATAAGACTCGTTGAAGACATTTTTATTTAATCCTTTAAAGTAGAAATCGTATCAAATATGTTTAAGAAATATTTATTAACACCGCAATTAGCATGTTAACTGGTCTCAATAATGCCGCAAAGATGTCCGCGAATACTATTTGTCCCGTGTCACTTGAGCGTTGATGAATTTCAAGCGTCATAAAGCCGGTTCTCAATAATATGTCAGATATGCTGTCATTGCGGTCGTTTGGTAAATAAGTACTTAATAATAATAAACGTAAATTTACTCTCATAAAGAAGTATAAGAATTTTTACCACGTTTTCCCATTATGTTATAACTACTCAATTATATAATGTTAACTATACTTTGACTATTTGAAAAAACAATCAAATTATTATTAGTCGTCGAAAATAATTTAAACTTATGTTTTGTTCTTTTGGATTAATTAAAGGCTTTGCGAGTAACACAAGTTACGATGTAGTAGAAAAAATGATGCTTGTACGTGAATAATAATTAAATTGAAAAATTATTCTTAATACTTTGGGTGGATCAACAAGCACTCGCTCCTTTTGATATTTTATGCATTATTATGAGAGGTAGAAAAAACTTAAATCAATTAAATTTTTTTTAAATAGAGCTAAATTTTGAAGTGATATCATCACATTGTTCTGCATGATATTCTTAATATGCATGTAAAATTTGACAACAATTGGCCCAGTAGTTTCGGAGATTATCTGTCTCATAAAAATTGACGCGTACAGACAACAGAGGCCAGACGACAAACAAAGAGCAGATCAAAACGGGAGATCTACTTTTTCACGCTTTAGGAGTCATGAAACGTCGAGAAAACAGAAAGCAGCCATTCGCCGGATAGACTAATTATATTACAATTTGCAGCTCCTCACTAACAATGGTTTATCACATTTCGTCGAATATGAAAATGCTATCGAAAAGATTAAAAAACGTTCAAAAAATTATTCATAGGTATCTAAAAATAAGACACTACTCTTTTTAATTTTATGCACTGCGTCCTGTAAAACAGATATATATAGGAGGCTTTTGAGAAATTTTAATTAAAAGACCACCATGTAGGGATTGCAAAATATTTACTGAAACCTATCTTCAGAAAGGTGATGCTGCTGACGTATTTTAAAAAAAGCCGAAAATACATTCTGAGATGCTTCAGAAGCGCGAGAGGCTCGATGTTCAGTTCTGTTATTACTAGAACGATAAAAAACATAAGTACAGAATTAACTGAGTGCTGCTTTGTCGCAATAGAAATCCTCAAAGGCATCTTTCAGTTAATCGCGTTTCCTCTAAATTCGAGAAAAAATAAAGTTACAACCAGTTCCCCACAGCACGTTCTTAAATTATGGCATTTTACGCCCCTAATTTTTTATAACCTTGTAATACGTAGGTGTTGTTACTTAGTTTACAGCCTTACAATGGTTTCGAGATTAATTTTTTTATTAAATTTTTACAGTGGAGGTAAGTATCTAGCAAATTTCGTGAGTAATAAGTTAGAATTTGTGAAGTCGGCAATAAAAAAGTCGTAGACGGCCCATATTCCGTCCGGTTGGGTTTACTATGACTATTCCGTTGTAAAATCCCTGTCCTGCATAAACACACAATATGATGGTGGAAGAGTAAATCCTGTAAGGTCATACTCCGGATATCCACGTCGGGCTGCACACAATCTTATACACAAGCAGAAGAAAGCAATTTCCCGGCTACCCATTGCAGTACGAAGGCCTACTTAGGGCCCGCTCATAAAAACAACCATAAACCGCGACGAGGAGGTCCCATAAATGCGAAATCTTAACTTAAGATAAGAGTGAGCGTCTCCGGTTTTTACCGGTGAGTCGCATAAACAAAGCCCTTCAACGACAATTTCGTTCCGGATATATCACTCTCTTTTCTGCATTTTATCCAGGACAAGAGGACAAGGATAATGTGCTGGAGTTAACTAGGGCGAATATGCCAGAAACAAGCCTGTTTAGTATTTTATTCCAGATGAATTTCGAGTGTAGCATTGAATTCAAAACAATAGTAATCACAATTTTCAAAGACGTGTGCAAACCAGTGTAGAGTATATAAAGTGATAATGGGTTATATACTTAGTAGACAACATCACCAGTACATTTTCAATAGTTTTTATTTACATAAAGAGAAACTTGAAACACAATGGGACATATATAACCTTTAAAATTAAATACCAGTTTCCAGACGCACAAAAAGATTCATCCAATAAATAATCTTCTGCAGTTAACGGTTACTGCCAATGATATTCAAGAAATTGTAAAGGTAAAACAAACTCTCGTAAAAAAATGTCAATGCTTTCCTATTTGTCAACATCAATGAAGAAAGACTGATTTTAGAAATCTGTTTAACGAGTGTGGCCAATTACATAATTTTCCAATTTGTCGCACTTTTAATAATTTAGCCATGAATAACTTTACCTTCCCTGAATTATGAAAGGACGTCAGTGATATCTCTTTTTAAATGGTTTTTAATCCAACTGTTATATTGCTACTTCTGGCGTTCCATAAAGGATCATAAGGGGACCTTTGTTCTAGTTCATTTGCCTTAAAAGTCTACAAATTCTAATCTTTCCAAACGTCTATTTCTCATTAATATGTTTAAGCGTAGGTGTTACAAAAAATACGTTCCATAAAAAAATGTTCATAATTGGGTTCTGTTTGTTTTTGTCCGTTTGCGTATTCTGAATAAATGTGGTCCATTTTGCTTTTTTGGTTTATTTCATACCTACTCCTAAGAATATTATTGCCTAAAACAATGGATTAATTTTTGAAGTAGTTTCACCACTTCCATGACGCCTGACACCGATATAACCTTAAAATAACGCGTCTTTCAGGGTTTTTATAAATTAATCGAAGTAGGTCATGGAAACATGCCGCCTTTCACTTTATGTGGACTTTACTAAATGCCCAAGGACTCACGACTAATACCATACGAAAAAAAAAAATAAAAATTTTCAAACCTACAATACTTTAATTATTTCAGGGAAAATAGGCGATTCTGTAAATAAAAGAGTACAAAACAACAAAAAAATGTGTAGTTTATAACGTACTTATGCTTTATTTATACAAAATTATTTACATATTTTTTAAAATATGCAAAAATATTTTGACAAATATCTGTGTGTATCAATCCGCTCTTTAAAATATGTTATAGATGATACCTTGTAATAGAATTTGAGGTTGTCAGCAAACAATAATTTATTACAATTTATTACACTAGGAATATCATTTACAAAAATTAAGAATATTAGGCGCCTTAAATTGAACCACTGCGAGACTCCGTATGTTGGTGTTACAGGTCTGGATCTAAGGTTTAAACATTGGTTGAAAGTTATTTCGACAGAACTTTCCTCGGCTCTGAAGTGCAGTCCATCAAATACTGCTTCTCTGAAAAATTATAAAATTTGATTTTGCGGAATTTTATTTTTTGGTCTATGGAGTAAAAACAATATAGAAGGTAATAGTTACAGTATAATAGAAAAAAAAAAGTTTCACCTTCTTAAAAAAAGACAGTTGGGAGCTCCGACCCCCAAGAAGGTTCTGTCTTCTTTAAAAAAGTACAATTGGTACCCCCGAGAAGGTTTCACATAAAAAAAAGACATTTGGCGCCCCCGAGAAGGTTTCACATTTTTAATTAAAGAGGGGCGTATTCTTATTTTTTCGAGAAAGTGGGGTAATTTCATCAATAAAAACTGTATTATGACGTCATAAATGTAGATAATACACAGTGCGAGAGAATAAGAGAGAAAAAAAAGACGAAAATCCAAGTTGTATAGTTACTTTTAAAAATGTTTATTTTATAAAAGAAAACATACAAGCTACAGAAAATAATATAAGTCTTCTTTGGTGGAGACCACCAGGTGCTCTGGAGATTGCAGGACCCATAAGTGTACAGCCAAGCTGCCGGTCTTAGGGGTTGCTAGTCCCTTTATAAGAGTTGCAGGGGTGTCGATTAGAGCGATATTGGCGTGGCCCGATGGGGTACGGCCGAGTACCGAGTTTGGTGGGATGTCGAGGGCGATGCTAAGCTAAGCGGAGAGCGTACTGCGGAAAATAAGAGTATGGATGAAGACGATTGTGCCGCCGATTGTGTCACATCTATAGAAGAGCAAGCGAAGAAAATTACTTTGAATCTTTTACCGGCGAAATCTAGAGCATTATATGAAAAGACCTACAATGAGTTTGTAAAGTGGTGTAAAGACTATAATGTTCAAGCTGCAACTGAAGATAGTATGGTAGTATGTTTTGACGAACTGTGCAAAGTGTATAAACCGTCATCGCTCTGGTCAAAGTACTCAATGATCCGAGCCAATTTGATAGCAAAAGAAAACATTGATATAAGTCAATTCAAAAAATTATTTGCCTTTCTCAAGCGACAGAGTGAAGGATATAAACCTAAGAAATCCAAAATACTTACCAGGGAAGAAATTATTAAATTCTTTGTGGAAGCTCCGGACGAAAATTTTTTGATGATAAAAGTGGGCAAAAAGTCAAATTTTTGACATTTATTGTATTTTTACAATTGCAGGTAGCTGTACTTTTTGGTATTGCTGGGGCATGCCGGAGGGAAGAATTATGTCAAATGACCCTTGATGATATTGACGATGTAGGATCCGCCCTAATTGTGAAAGTTAGAAACACGAAGAACAAAATTGATAGAATATTTACTGTTCTGAATAATGAAGGAATAACAGTGAATTTTCTACAATTGTTTAGAAAATACCTGTCTCTGAGGCCGTCACATACGAAACACCGTCGACTCTTCGTTTTTTATAAAAATGGGAAATGTACGTCCCAAGTTCTTGGCAAAAATATTCTGGGCCAGGTTACCATAAAAGTAGCAACATTTACGTGCACCTACACCGGACACTGTCTTCGTCGATCGTCCGCCACCCTTTTGGCTAATGAAGGTGCAGACTTGATAAATATAAAACGCCATGGAGGATGGAAGTCGTCAGTGGTAGCTGAGTCTTACATTGAAGATTCTTTAAACAATAAAATGAAAATAGCGAAACAGGTGTTGATAGGCGGAGATGCTGTCGTCCCTTCAACCAGTAAAGGGTCCTCCAGCAATGAATTTGTCAACAGCATTCCTTGTGGCTTCAATATTAACAACTGCAACGAATGTAAAATAGATATAACTGTCCATGTTAATAAATAAATAACAAATTTTCATTTCGATTTTTTTTGTAAATGAAAATTTTGTCAGCGGGCAATAATCGACTCATTATCGCCCGAGGGCCGAAAAGACTAAGTTTACGCCCGCGAATGAGGTCCAAAATTAATTTATTATTGGTCGATCATAGATAAATACTAATTTAAGATTACTACGTGATTAGTCATTAATTATGGCAAGTCTTAAAGTCTTATTAAAATACGCGGATCATCCGAAAACCTCCAAGAACCATCAAAATGCAGCGATTCACATCTAAAACAGGGGCCGCAGAGTGCAGTGACGGATTTCGTTATCTTCGTCATTTCATTTTTGCATTTAAGCGACAAAATAGTAACTAATCCCTCAGATAATTCCTCAGTTCTTAATTGATAAACGTTCGCCCTCTTGATGACAGTAATGGACCATTCGGAGGTTCGGGTTAATCACACATCAGTCGATTATTATCGAAGAAGGCACAAAAGCAAGATAACACATGCATGACGGTTTAAATTTGGAATCTTAACTTACTGAAAACCATGGAACTTTTCTAAGTCTTCCTTCGCAATTTCGGACAAAGGAACAATCAGCTGGACAAGGCTTCAGCACGGCTCTACATGGGTATCGATCGTCGTGGGTACTTCTCGTCTTCGTGGCACACTGGATTCGACTTCCCTTTTCTCTTGATTTTGCGACCTTTTATATGGCGTTTTTCTCATTAATTATGTCTTTTGTGGCATCTTGATGAGTGCACGTGTTGCATCGTGATATTCGTATTTAGGTCAGTTGATAAAAATACAATCCTTTTGGGCTTTATTTAGAGGTTTTTTAAGTCTTAGTTTCGTTGTTCCGGGAATTTCGTCAGACTGATAAGTCGCAAAATAGATTGATGGTAATGCGTGAGATTTGATTTGTTTTATGCTTCGTTTATCTTGCGTTGCGTTATTGTGTAACGCCTGTGTGCCTTATTTACTGGTTGACTAAAGTTATATTTTGTTTGTATGCGGAAGCCTTTGGTTGTTGATTTGGTGTGATTTATTTGGTGTTGGTTCCTCTGTATTTTTAATTGAATGTCGTTAGGATCACGTGCAGACGTTGTGGATTCTTCTTTGTCTTGTTATCATTTTAACGTCACGTGTTTTCACCATCTTGGAACTTTTGCTTGGGTGTGGTATTTAGCTAGGGTTGACTGATTGAGTGCTTCTTAATGGCGTGCGAATATAGGTTTGCAATTATCTGGTGGTTAGGTCATACATGCGCAAATGGACATGCGCAATTTGCTTGCTTTTTGCGAATGTGCGAATTTAGTCTTCGAGTTAGAGAATTATGTTCTGAAGTTTCTTATTGCGGTATTTTGCGGTTTCTCCTCAAGGGTGGACCGTCACACTCTGGTCTCTGTCGAGGTTGAATTGCTCGCGTTCGCAGGGCGCAAAAATCTGCGGAGCTGTTGGCGGAAGGGTTGCGCGTTAGGCAGTTTCTCTTGTAGACCCCAGGTCTTTGACAGACGTTCTATATCGAATCGTTCGGTCGTCTGTGCAGCCACCATTGCGGCAGCCTCTTGCCGTTTTTTCGTGCGCACTTTGTGACGTCGTGGCCGAAACTCCTGCAGAACTCGCATTTGAGTCGGTTTTTTCAGTTACTGAGCCTTGAGGGGCTAATTTCGGCGCTCTTGGGTCGTGTGTCCACGAAACTTGTGGGTGGTTCCGGCTTGCCCCAGACCCCCAGTGGGCCGACCTGGACGTGCCGAGAACCCCCCCCTGACGTAGGTGCGGTGGTGCACTCTCTTTCATTTTCTTCAACGACTCGAGCCATTTCAAGGAGGTATTTTTTGAAACAGAATAACTGATTGATCCCAGGTGAAACCCTTCTAATGAAGACAATTTTTAGATTTGTTTTCACAGTACCTACATATGCTTGAATATTATCATTTAAAAATTAAAAAAAAAGTGTAAATTATAAAAATAGGTCTATAATTATTTACTCCTTAGTGCTGGACATATCTTTGCTTGTTTCCAGTCAGCAGGAAAAGTAGATGATTTCACAGGCATACTCAGTGGCGTATGTAAAAGCTTTACAACTACAGATCTGCAATTTTTACCATTCCAGAAGTTTATTACGTAATCGTTTAACAGCTACCAAAATATCTTTCTTCGATATGCCAGCAGCTCGAGAGTCAGTGTACACCTATGGTGTACACACTCCTAAAATATTCTACGACTGTCATACACTATATTAGCCTACTAAATATTTTATAGCGTTACTGAAGGAAATTTTCACAAATGTTATAAGTCTTCTGTTTTGGTGGATATTTTTTATTATTTCCGAATTAAACTACGTACGACGGATATTTATTTTCAAATTCCTTGAAATATTTTTGAGGAACGCAAAGATGTTTTCCATAGAATTTCTGATAGGTTATGTTATCAGTGTTATCACTTATCAGTATAGGATGGAGCAAGAAAAAAACAATCAACTTCCGATAACAAAAGATAAAAAGTATCTTTATATAATATCTATAAATCTATCTATAAAGTTTAATAAGGAAACTTTTGTATTTTTCGTGGATGATATATCTATTATCACTCTAAAAACAAATAATATAACAAATCTACACAAAATAACATAAGAATGAGAAACATGAATCAGTAATAACCTCACATCGAATTCAACCAAAGTACAACGAATAACATTCTCTCGGTGACACTAACTCCCACATAGAACCTATAAGTATTATTCTTGGGTAGGTATTTACTTAGATCCTACTTTGTCATGGGAATATCATCAAATACATAAACTATCCTCAAGGCAAATTGTCTACAAAATTATACTCTTTTCACCAATTAAGCGAACTTGTTTTAAGTCCAATCAAAATACCGAACATTATGCGAGTCCGTACAGCGTTATTAAAAGTATCAGTCATGTTATTACAAAAAGTATTTGAACATTAAAGCCAAATCGACCCCAGATTTGTCTTATAACCTCTATATATTTATACGTAGGTGGTTGTTCAATGCTACATAAACTTTGTAAAACCGATTATATTATACGGTAGAAGACAAATTTCTAAATACATACTTTTAGTCATGTTTGGTTAATTAAGGTACGAGTTTATGTAAGAATCTGAGCCGCTGTGTGTCTAAAAGCACCTCTAATACGGATATTAAACTCGAGGCAATTGTAGTAGCAACAATAAGGCTTGGAGAAAAGGCATGAACTTCAATTAGCATTTAAAGCGTCTAGTTAGAAGTCGAAATTGAAAATTAGCTGTCGTCACGACGCTTCAGTTTAATATCGGAGCTCTACGTGACAAGTAGTGGCAACTTTTCAATTTCGTCTTATTGTCTACACTTGTGTTCAACACTTGGCCCCGGATAATATTCCGGTGTGATGGCACCCGGAAATTTCGTTTGGTCGCTTGTAAACAACTCACGGCAGCACTTTCAACGTCGTATCTAATTATTTGTTAAGTTTCGTGTGCAGAAGGTTTTAGATATGCGGCGTCAACCACCTCCCTGATGTACCTTATGAATGCTAAGCATTTTCTTTTAAAAAATATACGAAGAACCGGCGAGTTACAAAATTCCTTTTTTCTTTTTGCCTCACTTTTAAAGTTTTCCTTTTACGCAATAAAAATCAGGGCGTGAGTTATATGAAATGCAAAGTTTGTCGAGGACTCTTTTTTCTTATCCTCGTCGCGCCATGGCGGAGTGATTTTAAAGTACTTTAATTAGACGGTTCCGCGGTATTTTCACATCCACATCGCAACTTTATGCCACTGGAACTTTGTTATAACACAGTTGTTTTGCAAAATATTATCATATGAAATTTACTTGGTGTTTCAGATCTAAGTTTCGAACATTTTTACGATAAATAATGTTGTTAATAACTCTAACTGCATCACGGACGATTTTTAATTTGTTTTTTCTATATTTCCACACTACTACGGCACGTGATGCCGTGGTTAAAATTATTGCATATATTTCGCAATCACGCTGTAGTAAGATGTGACGCCAGAATTGAATTACTGGAAATAAAAAACAAGGTCCGCAGGGATCCGTTCTTGATCCCACGTAACAGCTATCGATTAATATTGTGTCGAATACTATGTATTACGGGCAAATCCAGATTAGTCGACGTTAATGTAGGTACTTATAAGTTCATCTTACGAATTGATTGCGTCTAGTGGCGCAACCCTGCGAACCCGGACACCCTTCTTGGGTAAAATTAAAAATAAAAAACAGGGGACAGATACATATATGCATTATTGACGTGAGGAACAGGTTTTAATAATCTACAAGCTATATTTTAATAGTTTCCCTGGTTTGCGTTCGGTAAGTTTGTAATTAGAAAATATGTTTATTGGTCTTGGCAAGAGGAGCTAACGTTAAAACTTTTACAAATTACCTACCATGTGGTTATGAGAGGTGTAAGAATGAGAGTGTAGCCACAGATTAAAATTTGTTGTCGTATATACCCAGGCAACATGATGTCTTCTTTATCACTTGAATAAATGGTCATCATTTACGTCATAGTGACGAAAGATTTCACGTGATATTGACGTACCAATGACGGTCAAATGTCTCGTCTAGATGACGTCATTTTCACACGAACTATTGACGTGATGTACTGACGTCTTAGAGTCGTCATTTTGTAACGAATTATTGACGTAATTTACTGACGTCCTAGAGACGGCATTTATTGTCCATTTTAAGACGTTTTTTATATTTTGATTTTTAGAAAAAAATATGTAATAAATAAATCGCTGAAATAATTTTATTTTTTTATATTGTTTAGCTTAAACAAAATATTATAATTCGTTATAATCACCAAGTAAAGCCCAAAACAAAGTATATAATAATTAAAGTTAAAACAAATTAGTGTAAAAAAATTAAATTTACTACAATTTTGTACAACCAACAATGAACTTCAATAAACAAATAAAAAATATGTCAATTAAACAAAT